TATGAAAACATTCCTTATTTCCATGTATGATATAAAAAATTATAACAAGGTCACGTGATCTAAGGGTTTTGTCCCTTTCAAAAAAGATAATATTTTTTTATTCAAATTTTGATTTTTCTTTTTTTCATTTAATTTTAAATAATTTTAGAATATCCAGGCATACTCAAATAGAATAATTTTTTTTAAAACCTCAGATCAGACTTAAAAATTATGTCATTTTGGTCATTTTATTATTGTCAAAAATTAATTAAAAGATTTATAAAAAAAAAATTTCTTTGAAATCAGATTACTTTAACTTTAAATTTTTAATTTTACTAAAAATGAAATTTTTTAAATATTTAAAAAGATAAGAGAGAATTTCTTAAAATTAAGAAAAGGCCGTTTTTGAAAATTTAAAATTTGAAATTAAATCTGACAATCAAAGTATATAGTTTCTATCTGAAAAAAAGAATTGTTTAATTAATAGAAAGAATTTAATTATTAAACGATTAAGACTAAAATGAAATCTTCAAGAATGTTTTTTTGGTTGGAAAATTTATGCCGAAATAGTGGACATTCTTTATAGGCTGATTTTTACTTTGGTTTTATTATTGTAAAATTAATTAAAAGATATAAAAAAAAAATGGAAAATGTCTTTAGAGAGAGAATAAAAAGAAGAATTGATAAAGACTGAAAAGAGGAAGAAAAAAAGCAAGAAGAAGGTGATGTAACGAGACATGAAGTGGGTGGATGACATCATTCTTTATAGGTACAAAAAAAAAACAAAAAAAAAACGATGTTGGCATTGCGAAGACGAAAGAAAAAAGAAGTTTCAAACAAGGACTTCACTTATCTCGCGATTATTTCACGAAGAAACAGATTTAGTTTCAAAAAGAAAATTTGATTTTTACCTGTTGTGGCTATTGTAGTAAAAAAAAACTAAAGTATAAAAAAAGGAAATGTCTTCTCGCAATTTTAAAATTTAATCTTTTTTAAAATTCTTCTTACCTTAGGTTCGTTAAAGTTTCACTTTTTTTACTTGTGAAGCAGTTTCTTGTTTTAGTTGAAAATAAAAAAAATATTTTTTTTTATTTTGTGCCTTTGTCAAACTCCGAATAATGCTTCTGTTTTGCATCATAGATACATTAAAAGAGAAAAACATTTCAAATTTATCGTTAAAAGGTTTATTTATCTTGATGGTCAGTGGGCTCCTATCACAAACAATACGTAGTTGATAAGGTGCCCACGTGACCAAATGTCCTCCTGAATTATGTAGGAGTTGGAAATTAAGAAAGCATTCTTAATTTATTGACAAAAGTTCCATAAAGGCAAGGCCTATTTTCAATTCCAGACCTTTGAAAAAAAAGGCAGAAGAAAAAATGTTCTTGTTAGTTAGTTTAACAAAAATAAAGTCTAAGTGTGTAACGTGTCCACGAACAGAAATGTCGTGTTTACACAGCAACCTGTGAATGCGATATAAAGAAGAATCAATGAAGAAGACATTTGCTTTTTTCGGTCTTTTCTCTCTTTCTATCAAAACTGCAGATCAATGGACGATAATGAGAAAATACGAGCGACAAAAGTAGGAAGAAGAGACAGCGACATAGGATTCCTTCTCATTTTCTGCATTTATTTTCAACATTGGATATCACAATATGAATTGAATTGGAAAAAGAAAGTCTTTAGACTAGAGAGCAAACGGATGAATGAATGAAATTTCGTTTCCTTGCAATAAAACGTGTAGCACTTCCATTTATTTTTCAAGATTAAAGAAAAATTCGAGAAAATATTTAATTTTATCGAATTGAAAGAAAAAACGTTTTAGATTTAGAGAGCCATTGGTTTCAATTTAAAATAAAAGCAAACAAAAGGTATCGTTGCATCACTCGATTGATTTAGAAAAGAAAAAGAGAGAAACAAGAAAACCCTTCGTCGTGGCGTTACAACATTGTGAGGAGTTCGATCCTTGGTGCCCCACGCACTAAGTTTTTGTGTAGATCGCCTCGTTGAAATAATTATTTACAACCAGGGTCAAAGGTCAGTATTCAAAGCCAGGTAAAAAGTTAAAGTTTGAAAATGCTGATTTTCGAGATTGTTATGTTTACACACACAGATACCAATCCATGTTTGGTTTAAACTTTAAAATACTTGATAGGCGGAAGACAGTCTTTCCTGCTTTTTTTTTGTGACAAAAAAAAAAAAAAAGGAAAGAAAACTCAACCTAAATTTTATTTCAAGTTACGAAATTTTAAGTGAACGAAAAAAGAAAAAAAAAAAAGATTTTCGACTGCCAATATTTTTACAGACAATACAGACGGAATAAAAAAATTGCTGAGAAGACTCAAAGAAGAAGATGGGGAGGAAATGACGATTTGCGTAAGAAAACTACGGGATTTATATTTTTCTGGTTGATGAGCGTGAAACTAACGTAAAAACCAAGTGTTGGAAATCAATCCTAAATTAAGAAGAAACAAAGATAAAAAAAAAAAAGACCAAGTCAGGGATGATGAATGAATTGGAGATTTTAAAACTGCACCGCAATATGTCATTTAATAAGGTTTTAATTGGTTTACTTATTTTTAATAAAGAGAAAGAGCAGAAATGTTGGTGACAGAGAATCACGATGAGAAGATGCATTGTATGAGATCGATAGGCGAATGTAAGAAGATAAAAACGGATTAATAGACGAAAAACAAAACCTGATATATAGGCTAAGAAGAGAAAGTAAAGAAAGATAAACAGAGACAACATGTATGTACTGATCATGGCAAGAAAAAAAAAGGTTGCATTTTGAAGTGGTATTTAAATTTAATAGTTACTACTAGTTAGTAACTTAGTAGTACTAAAGAAGACGAGACTTAAAAGTCGTAGTAAAAAAGGAGAGCATTGACGAAGACAGGTCATTGATTAAAATTTTCAAGTACTACTAGAAATAGTAGTATTTGAAATAAAAATGTATACTTCGATTTCTAAAACAACGTGTAATATTTACACTGACAGTAGTTGATTAGCAAGTAACTTGGGAGCGCACCTTCCTTCAAAACTGGTGAATGATATTATTATTATTGATATATCGGTCAGTGAGTTCAATAATCGATAGAAGAGACTCATAAACGTGTATTTAAAAGACAGTTGACTCCTCCTCCTCCTCCTTCTCTTGTCGTTCTTTCTGCGTATTTTTAATTTTAGGCGATAAACTGTATGCATAAAAAAAGAACGTAGAATTATTCGACTTCGACTATTTGTTCTGTTAAAGGATTTTTAAAATTCTTTTCTTGTGTGAAAACGATCAAAGAACCCGCCTAGCAATGAACTCTGTGAATGAACATAAGAAGATGTATCTTATGAATGAGAAGCAAATCGCTGAGGCGTTTTACTTGCTGACTATATACATTTCTTAATATATAGGTCATTCATATCCCTTTTTTTAAAGATTTGCTTTATTAATGATATACATACACTTTAAAGATCCTAGGACGTGTCAGACAATTACAAATTTCCTCCTTTTCCATCTGTTGTATATTCCTTAATTTAACATGCCATAGCCTTTTTTGTGGGGGTGGGGATGGTTACAATATTTGCATGTGTTTCTTGGAGAAGTCATAGGAATCTTGTCTTTTTAATTTTACTTTAATTCGAAACATTTGTTTTTTAATAACTCGTTTTATCTTTTCCAGGGATTTTGATAGTTTTACCTACAACAAAGTGTACTTGTACTACTAACAAAGAAAAAAAAAAAGGTCAAATGCTCAACGAATCCTAGTTGATACACGCGATATAAAATTATATAGCCTACTTGAAATTTTACAGATCTTTATTGTTGCAGATTCTATACACCTGACACTTTCAAAATGCCCCAAACACCCCTAAATCCTAATTCATGGCCCGTGTCCATCGCAATTTTTTTTTAAAAAAATGGCGGTTTATTAAAGATAACAAAACAACAGACTTTTGTTGTTTATTTGTCTTAACAATTGTTAAAAAAATGTTGGGTTTTCATTGTCAATAAAATTATTTCCTTGTACGTCAGATGTATAAAAACTTCACATCTGGTACATTCTAAGGCACATGGTATATCATCACAGATATGTGAGTAAATTTCAATAATTTTGAATTTAGCAGCTTATATCTGCTACGTGAATGCACTAGGATTTTAATTTTTAACTTCAAATTGAGTGCATGGTTGAATAAAGAAAGAATTGGTCCTTTCTTGGTAAGTCAGTTTTTGCCATTCATTCATTCTTTCGCTCATTCATTCAACTCTTCATGTTGTTGTTGTTGACGTCGACGACGACGACACAAGCCAAACACCAGCTGTTGTTGGTCTTAACGACCTCATTGACACGTTCCTCCTTTCTTTTTAGTCTCATTTACTTCAAAAACACATTAATAATGATTTAGGTTCAAAAGAGAAAAAGCAATTGCAAATAAAAGAACATTTTTCTATTACTTACCGTCTTTATTTTCCAACATGCTTTAGTTTTCTTCTTCTTACACTTTTTTTGTCGTTGTGTCATTAAAAGCGCTTCTTTTTTAAAATAATGTTTCAAGTTATTTCAATTTTTATCCAATATCCATCATGTTTATTTTTAAGGTGCAGAAAACTTTCTTTAGGTTGGAAAATTTTATTTTTCAACTTGTTTTTCGTTTTTCTTTCTTCGTTATTTTGAATGAATAAGAAATTGTTAAAAATGAAAAAAACAAAAAAAAAAAAAACAAAAAAAAAAAACATAAACGACAGAAGACTTCTGGATTATCCGCTTATTTTTCTTCACAGTAGTTTAATTTCAGAACTGAATTGTTGATTCATTTTTGCCTCCCGTTTTAAACTTAAATGTTTTAAAATCTAAAACTAAGAAGCAATCAATTTTCCTTACGTTTTTTTTTATGACAAACTCTGCATGGGTGCTTTTACCTTCTGTTTTGTTTACATGAAGCCGATGTTTTATTTTTTTTTTTATTTCATTTTTTATTTCTTGTAGGATTCCGATAGTGTCTGAATGATTCCGACCAAATTAGAAATGTACTGTCACCGCCAAAGAAGCGGTGGAGACGTTGCCGACACATCCAGAGCCATCATATTTGTTACTATGCTGTCTTTCCCACTATATCTCTTTTTGTATCTTTATTCTCCCTCTCTAATATTTCTTAGCAGTGCTCCTCCCCATCTTTGCTTCTCCAGGTTTTCCTTCTTCATTTCTCTTAGAGTCCGTCTGCGCCCCCCTCTTTATCTTTCCTTCTCCTCCCCACTTGGAGTTCCGACTTTCCTCCCTCTCCGTCTTCATAATTTCCGTCTGCCCCACTCTCCCTATGGTCTCCGTTTTTTGTTACAACCCACACCTTTGCGTCTTTTTCCCCACCGCACTCATTCTTCCTGCTTTTTATATCTCTTGGTGTTCTCTCTCTTATTTTTGTTTTGTTTTATTTGTTCCCTCTCTTTTAATTTCCATCGTTTTCTCCGTAAATATTCATTGTTTCCCGCCTCTTGTATTTCTCTTCTTTCTTTTCCTTCTCTTTCTATGACTCCCTCCTTTTTATATTTCCCTCCTCTTCTCTCTGCATTCCGTACTACTACTATCTATCTATCCTTCTTTATTCTCTTTATCTTCAAGCTTTCTCGGTATTCCTCAGTCATTTATTGTCTGTGGTATAAAAACGCCTTTGTTATTCGATTTACTCTGGTTTTGCTCTCAGAATCAGTTTCTGCTTTCTTTCTTTTTTTCTCCTTTACCTGCTTCTTTCTTTCTTTCTTTTCATTACCTGCTTCTTGCTGCTTTTACTTTCACACTGTTTAGTAAATAAATACACGCAAAAAATCTTTACCATAATCCACACCCACTTTTCTATTTCTGTATTCTTAATTTCAATTTATTTTAATTATTTATTAACCATTTTTCTTCTTTTATCATCTTCGGTGATTTTACTTAGATTTATTGTTCGTTAAAAAAAAATCACATTTTCATGATTTACGTTTTATTTCACTTTCAGTGATAATAAGTGGGGAAACTAATTGTATTGTCCATTTTACTGACAGAATAAACGTTTTCGACATTTTGTTTATACTTTTTGTACATGCACAAAAAGACAATATAATTTCTTAAGCTTAAGTTTGGTACAAGGCCAAATAGCTGGAGTAAAAATTGAGTTGCATTCATCAAAATACCATTAAAAATTCATTTATGGCTAGGTTGGAACACCGATAGTAACGGTAACTGTCAAAAAAAAAAAAAAAAAAGTAAAAAAAAAGAAAAAAAAGTAAAACAATCATTCACCTTAGTGACCGTATATTCCGATTCGCAGTTGGAGGCCAGGAATATGGAAAACCTTGCTCGTCCAAGAAGTACAAATGCCTTCTTCAGATTGGTGGACGATGAAAGAGGGTTTTTGTAAACCAGTTGAGACACGAGCACTTTTACCTTCCTACTTTTTTTTTTTCCTTTTTTATCCGTTTTTCGTGTCTTTTCTTTCTTAGATAAACGAAAAAAAATTGTTTTACTCTTCTCTTGATTTTGTAGCAGAAAAAAAAAAAAAAAAAAAAAAACAAAACAAAACAAAACAAAAAAAAACAAATTATTTTTTTACAAATCTTTTTGTTTAAATTAATTTTTTAGAATAATAAAAATTCCAAACCTCGGAAAAATGCGTGATAAAAAAAATATCAATATTTTCTAGTTTTCAAAACCTGGGGAAAAAAAAAAAAAAAAAAAAAAAAAAGGGGGTTTTCTGTGAAAAAATTCAATTTTTTCTAAAATTTTGTATTATCAAAGAAGTTACTTTTTTAGCTTCTTTCTTTAAGATTGATCTGATAAAATAGAATTCAACAAGAGGAATGATTTCATGAAAATGATTTTTTTTGCTGAATTCAATGAAATGACAAGTTTAGTTAATGAAACACTAAGCAGAAGCTGTTAATGTTTATGTATTTTGGAGAATCCCGTTAGGATCGAAAGCATATTCATGAATGAAGTGGTCTGTAAAGACTACCTTAACCACTGCACTACGATGGACACCCAAATCAGTTCACACTATCCTGTGTACACTATTTGTTAGTACCTGTGTATTCAGTACATTTCAGTTACTTACCCTTTGAATATTAAACTTAAGCCTGTCCACTAAAGTCAATGACTTCTCCACTACATTAAGAGAGGGTAAGGTCCTGATGTTTGCGGTAATAGCCTAGACAGAACATGGTAATGACAGGATTGAAAATGTGATCGTCAGTTGTATTATTGTGTTCAGGAGGTACGCAACTACCTCAACCACGAGACAAACTTTTTTTTCTTCAGTTTTCCTTATTTTGTCTCTTCTTGTCTACAATTTTAATTTTTTTAATCTTAAATTCTGATTGAGTCTTTGCATATTTGAATATCTAGACATTTTATAACCTTTTTAAAGGAGTGGTTATTCGCTTATTTATTTTTTGTGTAAATCTGGATTTTTTGAAAGTTTACAGCAGAAACAATATCTAAGCTTAACTTCCCATTGACTTAAAAGAACCAATACAAAGAAAAATGATTTGGTATCATGTTTTCATGAATAAAGATTATTCTTCTGCCAATTCCGAAATACTGTAGCAGTGTAGCTTAAGGAGATTAAGTACTTTGAATGCACGAGGAAGTGATTATTTCAATAATGACATTTATTAATATTTTCCAACACAAGAAAGGTTCTAAAGCAAAAGTATTAAATGAATGTTGTGCGCGCGAAGATCTCTTCAAACAATCACGATGCAAAACAAAGGATAAAATTACAGGAATGAATGAAAGAAGCCAAATGAATGCTTCAACAACTGCAAAATGTCAAACTCTGCGTCGACTTCATTTGCAAACATATACAGTCATAGTTAAGGACAAATTTATAACTTTGGAATAGATTATGACCGGGACACCTTAAGACAAACACTAGTGACAACTGCAAAGGAAGTAATCCCAATGGAATGAAAAAAAAACAAAAATAAAAAACAAAAAACAGAAGTAGATGACGGGGAAAATTGCCGAAGTAGTGAAAGAGTAGATAACGTCAAGAAATGGCGCAGAATATCATGTTTAACGAAAACATGAGAAATAAATACAAGCAAGCAAAAGAATACATGATTCAAGAATAAGAAATGTGCAGAGAATGAAAACATGTAGAACAAAGATGTAATAGACATGCACCAAAAGATGAAATAAAAAGTAGGGTATAAAACGTGATCTACGAGAGAATGTATTTCAGATCTAAAGAAGGAACAATCAGAATGGAAAAGAAAAAGTACTACAGAGATGGAATGAATACATCAGAGAACACTTTGATGCCAACAGAGGAGAGAAACCTACAATGCGCCATAAAAAACATGAACGGACTCGTAATATTAAAATCAGAGGTTAAGTCAGCATTGACCTAAATGAATAGTAAAACAGAAACCTGATCGGATGAAATTGTAATAGAGATCATGACATCCTGAGATGATTGATGAGGTTAGTGACACGATAAATGAAATATATGTCAGCGACGAAAAACTGCAAGACCTCAGTAGATATATCTTCATAGTGATGTCAATGAACATCAGGTACGAACGAATGTGAATTCCATCGTTCATTTAGTTTAATGAGACACATAATTAAACTTATCAATAAAATTCAAATGAATACAACTCGGAATGCGGTTTTGTTCAAGAGATTAGAACGAGTAAAGCGATATTTATGATCAGAATAATTGCAATACAAATACACACAGATATACACTAACCAGTCATTTTATTAGATATAATTCTTCTAGTAACAGATTGGATCCCTTTTTGAATTTAGAACCGCCTCAGTACTTCTTGATGTGCATCAGGCGATATTCTGAAAGCACTCTTTTAAAGTCCGAGTCCATGCTTTTATTATGACATTCCGCAATTTTAGATTGGCTGACTGCACATCCAGGATTCAATTACTGCCTTTCCTAGACATTCAATATGTGCTCTGTGGGATTGAGATCTGGGGACTAGATGTAATGCAGGAAACATTGCTGTATTCCATAAACCAATCTGCCACTATTTCTTAATTATGACACGGTACCTTGTCCTGTTGGAAGTATTCACCAGAAGATGGGATCATTATAATTATAAACCTAGGAAAAAGTGATCAGCCACAATACATAGGTAGGTTGCGGCATTTAAACGATGTTTTATTGATACCAAGGGTCCTAGTGTATGGCAAGAAAACATTCCCCGTACCATTACACTACCACCACCATTGATTTAAGACAGGATGGATCCATACTTACATGCTATTTATGCCAAATTGTGACCCTACCATCCGAATGTCGCAGCTGAAATCCAGATTTATCAGATTAGGCAACGTTTTTCCAACACTCTGTTGTCTAATCTTTGTGATCCTTAGCGAATTATAGCCTCTGTTTCTTGTTTTTATCTGGTAAGAGTGATACCTAGTGTTGTCTTCTGCTGTAGCTCATGTGCTTCAAGGCTCTATACGTTGCGCGTTCAGAGGTACTCGTCTGTGCATCTCCGTCGTAAAGAGTAGCTATTTGAGCTACTGTTGCCTTTCTATCAGCTTGAACTAGTCTGGAGATTCTACGACGATGAAGACGACTTTCATCAACAAAGAGTTTCCGCCCACAGAATTTTGCCGCTCACTGGATATATTTTTTCTGATCATTCTCCGTAAACCCTTGGGTACTTCAATGGGGGTGTAACGGTCAGAAAGCTTGTCTCGTTAGGATCATTATGACTGAGTAGCGAGTTCGATCTTCATTGAGGACCTCTAACTTTCGGCCTTGTGCCACATCTAATCTACGCTTAGAAAATCACCATTCTCCGTAAACCCTAGTAGATCCGCAATTTTCGAACTACTCAAACCCGCTGGTGCTAACCATCATGCCGCGTTCAAAGTCACTTATATCACCTTTATTTCCCGTGGAATAAAATTCAGAAGGTTGTCATGATTATGTTTAAATGCCTATATTCATTAAGTTGCAGCCACACCATTGGCTGATTAGAAATTTGCATAAAAGGACATCTTAATTAAATGACCAGTGAGTGTATATCTTGATCTCATAGATTACACAAACGCATTTGACAGGGTATGACACGTCGGGCTCCTTGAAATAGTTTTAAAAATGCTTTATTTAGACGGGAAATATATTAAAATAATCTGTAAGTTTTACTGAGAATATAAGCATAACACTCGACGGATGACAGAAAAATAACTGAAATACAAGTTAATCGAAGAAAGCAAGAAAATAGAAAGCATTGACCATGAATTGTAAGAAAGACAAAAATGCATGCCTGTCAGCAAAAGAGACGACCTAGGTTGTGAGTTCAATATCGAGGACGTCAAAATGAAGCAGGTATAGAAATGTAAACTATCCAGGGTAGTGTAACAACAAACGATGTAATGTATGACACAGAAATACGAAACGTAGTGTTCTACAGAAACGAATACTGAGAATATCATGGAGAGAGTATTTAAGAAAAAAGGGAAGTTTTAAAGAAAATAGAAACTACTGCTTAAACTGAAAATTGAAATTTTCGGGACGGAATCATGAAAAAAGGCTTCAAGAATTTAACACTCAAACATCATGGAGAGTGGAGAAGTAAAACACTGTATAATCTACTTGACAATTCTGAGTAAATGGATGACAACAAGACAAAGGTGTTGTAAAGGAGTAAGACTTACCCAGACCAAGAGAAGACAGGGATTTGTGGAGAGTCACGGTAATCTACATCTTGAAAGGATATGTCATATAAAAAGCAGATTACGCAAAAAAAATATCAAAATTACAAAACAAGCTTTTAGTACAATTTTTGAAG